TATATAAAGAGTCAAACCTATTGAAGCTTTTTCCACCAGATCTTCATATTTGACGTCTCGTGTGTTTTTATTTCAGGTGGGGAGAAGCAACGCGTCGCCATCGCCCGCGCCATACTGAAGAACCCACCCATCCTCCTGTACGACGAAGCAACATCGTCCCTCGACTCCATCACCGAAGAGGCCAGCCTGACCACTTTCACACCAACACACACACACACACACACACAAAGTAGCAGTTCAGTGCCACACGCACAGACTGACACCTCATCCTGTCTGCTTTCACATTTAGCAGAACAAACACCCACTCAGTCACCTGCTGTAGGTACACAATAATTCAGCTCTTCCCTGCATCACATACCTACTGTGACACACACACACACACACACACACACACACACCACCCCCACGCTCTCCCTTGCCACCTGCCACTGTTTTCTCCCACTTAATCCCCAGCTCAGCTTAAACCACACAGTCTTTGTAAATGTTACACCTAATGAGAAAGTTCAGCTCGCTCTTTCTGAACTTCAGGGAGAAGAGTGGGGCAGTAGACGTGGATGTTAATTGCGATTTTTCTATTGCTTCTCATCACAAGGGTAGTTTTAAATTATCATATGTAAACACTGGAAAGAAAAGCATATGAAGGCGGATGTTGCCGAGCAACATTTTATTGACTCAGTTCCCCCGTCAAGTCAAAGTTTGGCAATATATTTCATATATATTCTGTCATTCATGCACTTTCCCCCTCAGACTGTCATTATTGCAAACTGAAAACTATTTTCTTTGGGCTTAAGGAATACTACTGTAGGGATTACGATGGTCTAGGTGGTGACTTTATTTTTTTTCTTTGTGTGCTTCCAGACCATCCTGAGMTCAATGAAGGAGATGGTAAAGGACAGGACGTCACTGTTCATCGCTCATAGGCTTTCCACGATCGTAGACGCAGACGAAATTATAGTGCTCAGTCAGGTAAGAGCTCATCTCTGCTGCAGCACTTACCTTTTACCTATTAGCATTTTCATTTGTAGTTCCATTTTCACGGAAAAGCAAATTATATCATGGTTGAGTTTCCAGAGTGTAAGTAAACATGCGCTGTGTTAATTGCCAGCCCAATTAGATGTGTTTGCATTGAAGGGAAGGACAATGGCCTGCTCTCTGCATAACCTTCAGTGCACCGTCTCTGCCAGCAACAAGAATATAGCAAGTTGCACTGCTTTTGGCACTCATTTATTTCCCCTGCTACCTTTTCCTCAACATACATGATGAAAACGCGCTTTGTTTAGCCTTTTCTCATTAACTTAAACAACAACAGGGAGAAGAAATGTATTATTTTCTCCATAAGGGCTCATTAAAGCAGTCTGACTCGACTGGCTGTTTTGGTCAGATGGCTCATCTTGTTTGTCTCTGTGTCTAATAATGTAAGGGCCAGCTTCCCAGACACTGATGAGGCCTTATCTAGCACTGCACGTGTCTTTGAAAGGAGATTCAAATTGGTTTTCTCTGCTATTTTTTTGTTTGTTTTTGTTTTGTGTAATTTTAAACTGTGGCAAAAGTGAATATTTTCTGTGCTTTACTGTAACTCGACACACAGAAATATCCAAGGTCACAGTATGGAAGGGGTTGGACTTCACACACAAAAGAGACAGAGTGAAGTCTGTTATTATCCAGAAGGTAAGAGTTAATACAGAGCAGGTGAGGGGACATCTCCCCCTCCTGCGCCCGAGCGAGAGGCTAAAAAAACCAGGGGACATTTCTCCAGCGGAGCATGTTTTCGCTCCGTGTTTCCTCCGAGTCAGATGGCAGGGATCAGAGGGTTGGGATGAGGATGCACGTTTGCGTGTGATGTCGTCAAAGCGTTTGCTAGTGTCACCAGCAGAGGACTGCCTGGGGTGCTCATTAAAATAACGAGCGGATGCAGTCACATGCTCATCCTGGGCGCACTAAAGACGATGCCAACACCTCTGCACGCTCGTTGGAGGGTGGGGGGGAAGGGGATGCCCTCGTTTGTGTTGCACTGCGTGGGAGGGTACGTGTTTGTCGTGTGTGAGTGCGCGAGTTTGTGTTTTTGTGTGAGGAATGCAACAGTTGTTGGGGAGGCGTCGTGGATTCTAAAAGGAGGGGAGGAGGGAGGGGACTCGACGCAGCGTGGCCAGTGTTCTGTGCTCACGAAGAAATGCCAGGACTCTGTGTTCCCCCCCACCCCCATTTAATTTCTATTTCTTCAGCTTTTGTGCTAAATCTTCTCTCCGGCTTGTTTCTTTCAGGGCAAGGTGGCCGAGCAAGGCAGCCACCACGCCCTCCTGAACACCCCAGGCAGCTTGTACGCCGATCTGTGGAACGCTCAGAACAGCAAAATCCTGAACAGCGGCAAGATTTCGCCCGAGCCGCCGGCCGAGCGTCTGTCCCAGAAGGAGGAGGAGAGGAAGAAACTACAGGAGGAGATCTTGAACAGTGTGAAGGGCTGTGGGAACTGCTCCTGCTGAGAGAAGCTGCCATGTTTCCTCATCCCTCACAGATGTCCCATGCTGGAATCCTTCAGTCTGTGCAGTTTGGAGAGAACACAGGGGTGGAAGGTGGGGGGTTGGTTCCCATTTTTTATCTAGACCCCCYTTAGTGTGACTCTCTTTCCTTCTCTTTATGTGAATCAAGGCCACTCCAGGTCAAAATGAAGGCGGAGCAGAACAAGGAGCAAGTGTTTGTTTAGCTCTGGCTGGTGGCCAGAGATGGAGCTTGTGTGGCAGTTTGTCTGAGCTGAAGCAGCAGAGAACTGGTGTATCACATACGTGTGTTTAAGACATCTGTTCGTCAACATGGCGGTCCTCCTRCTCTTCATTTCTGACGTCTGCTTTATTGACATCTTCCTTTTGCACTGGAAACATGGAATGACTCGCATATGCCTTCATGTTGCCACGAAATTTGTATCGATTTATTTTTTTTAAATTATTCGTGAAATAAACTGAGCTTCCAGTTTGCATTTATATCAAAGGTGTATCATAGTTTGTTCCACAGTTTGGGGACCCCAGATAAAATCCCCAGCTATAAAACAGTTTTAACACTATCTTCTAAAGCAGATTTATTCATAATATTTATAGCCTTCTGTAATTGTTTAAATTTTTTTTGTCTTTAATTTTGGGGAACAACAATCGAGAGACAGTTGCACTGAATATATCCGAATTTTTGGAGATGGAAAAAAGCAGGAAAATAGAAAGTGTCTCAGTTGTCCACCATAATAATTAGATCCAGAACGAGTAAACATTCAAAAATCCACTRTATTTAAATCACTTCTGGATGTTTTTTTTAATTAAAAAAAATAAGAGGTTTAAGTATCTTAAAACYTTTTAGATTGTGTCCTCCTCTAAAAGGTTAAAAATAAAAGTTGGAACAGGTCTGTCCTCATTTTCTGAAAGCTGTTTTGGCTGTAACAATCCCCATTCCACCCCCTTTTTAAAAAAATCTTTCTGTTCTGTTGTATCTATAAATGGTGAACTAATATTTGGGAGTTTTGTACAAGACATAATGGTGAGGCCTTTTTTGTAGTTGGATGTATAATAATGTATATTGTACATTAACTAAATAAAGTTTTCCCACAGTTTTTCATCTTATACACCTTTTGAAATCATTTTTTAACCAGTCAGTTTTTGATTGTGTCTCCATCCATTAACAAAATCTCAAGATACTTGAACTCCGCTTTAGGCAGAACCTCACCCCCATCTACAAGGTGTAACAGAAGAAATTATACTCAGAAAAATCTCTACAAATCAACATAGATAATAATTTTGAAAATGTGGGCGTAACCTTTGGTAGAGGGGATCATTCTGCTTCGAATGATACCAAAATCTTAGATAACACTTCTCGCTCCAGTGAGCAGGGACAGTTGGAAATTCACAAAATTCATGTCCTTTGTGCAAGGAAATGTGAGGGTTAAAACACGATCTGTCACATAAAATTAAAAGTTCAGATGGTGTTTTACACGCATGCCAAGGTGTTTTTAAAATAATTAACCCTTTCATTTCCTAACGTCGAAACAAAAATATCTCATTTTTGAGTGGATCATAACCAAGGGTTCAACATTCAGTGGCCGTGGACAAGTCAATCCAGCCAACTAACATTACTTGTAATGTACTGAATGTATTCAGTGGGTATTACATGTAATTATTCCACAACCTGGTACAAGATCATGTGATTGTGTGGTCATTTCCTTTCATTAAAACAAGGGGAGGTCCGGCCAACAAAGGACCCAACGCACACCAGKCAACACTGAAACAGACAGAACCCTCTTCGAAGAGCAACATGCTGGAGAAGCATGAGAACCCTAACATTTGGAAACTCATGTTGGAACTGAACTGCTCAAGGACAGTGCAAACACTTTTAAGTTTGGAGGTATTCAGGAACCAGGAAAGACCTCTGCTGAGCGGTGAACTGTGGTCGGGCCATTTTACACCACCGGCTAAGGCAGGAAGGGAGACAACTGCACGGGTGCTGACAAGATTTATGCACAGGAATTATGCAGATGTCTGCCATAAGATAAGATGATGTTTGTGATCATGTTGTTTTAATGAAAGAAAATGACCACACAATCACATGATCTTGTACCAGTTTATGGAATGATTACACGTAATACCCACTGAATACATGTAATGTACATGTTTAATACATTACATGTAATGTTAGTTGGCTGGATTGACTTGTCCACGGCCACTTCACATGTGTTTGTTAACCCTTGGTTATGATCCACTCAAAAAAGAGATATTTTTGTTTCGACGTTAGGACATGAAAGGGTTAATTATTTTAAAAACGCCTTGGCACGCGTGTAAAACACCATCTAAACTTTTAATTTTATGTGACAGATCYTATTTTAACRCTCACATTKCCTTGCGCAAAGGACATGAATTTAGTGAATTCCCAACTGTCCCTGCTCACTGGAGTGTGAAGCGTTAACTAAGATTTTGGTGTCATTCGATGCAGAATGATCCCCTCTACCAAAGGTCACGCTCACATTTTCAAAATTATCTATGTTAATTTTATGGTGATTTTTCTGAGAGTATCCTTTTTTCTGATACACCCAGAGAGCCAGCCACCCTTTTCCGACTGAGGGCCATGGCCTCAGATTTAGAGGTGCAGATCCTCATCCCAGCACTTCACTCTAACTGCTCCAATGAGAGCTGAAGATCACGGCGGGGCCCCAGTAACCAACATTTGGGCAAAGGGACGCTGTGTTCCTTGACTGTTTTTGTCCATATGAGTTTTGACTTGGAAAAAACAGTTAGGCTCAACATTGGCATATTTTTTGGAAAGATGTCAGGTGATAACCTACCTTCATTAAAGTATGTCTGGAAAAATGGTCCTGTTTTAGATTCTTATAGTGCAACACTGTGGACAATATTATAGTCCTTAGATATAAATGTACTTGATTTCATGACTTTCAAGCATTAAATTAGTTTGACTTTCTCATTAATTAAAATGTGGGTTATGATAAATACAAATTGCAGATTTTGATTTTCTTACATATTTGTTTTCATTATTTTATTTTTGAACAAGTGTAACACTTTTGTCTTTCAACACAATGTTCTTTCTTACAAGGCCGCAATTTAAAAAAAATTTTCATCTCGAAATGTAATTATCCCAAACGCCTTGCAGTTGCACACAGCTGAAACCACAATGATAATGTGAACAACTAGAATCAGGTTCACTCCAGTTGTTTGTTCATTGAAGTTTCAATAAAACCTGTCCACTGATTCATAAAGGGTGCTGAGTGATGAATGACTTTGCTGTAATTTGTTAAAGGAAAAAATTAATCGTTAAACAAGCAAAACAGAAAATTAAYTCATCTAAGCTGTAGATGAAAACTAAAATCAAACAGCTAAAAGCTAAAATTAACGACATTAGCTTAAAACTAAAATTAGAAACTTGCAGCCAAAAGCTAAAATCAGTAAAAGAAGCTAAAATCAACATAGCCAAATGCTAAACTACAAGCTAAAATGACCAATAGATAGGCTTAAAGCTAAAATGAAAAAACCTTTAGCTGAAAGCTAAAATTGGTAAAACTAACAAGAAGCTAAAATTTACCAAATGTTATTTAAAGCTAAAATTAACAAACCTGCAGCCAAAAGCCCAAACCTTGAAGCTAAAATTAACAAGAAACTGGCTAAAGCTAACTACTGTTGTAAAAGCTACAACCAGTAAAACTCTAACAAAAGCTAAAATTAGCAAGAAATAAAGCAAAAAAAAAAAACAATAGTAAACTTGTAGCTGCATGCTAAAATTGGGAAAACTAACAATAGGCTAAAATTAACAAGATATTTTGAAAATAAAATTAGCAAAACTGTTGCCAAAAGCCAAAACGAGTTAAATTAAGTAGAAGCTAAAATGAACAAGAAATTGGCATCAAGCTAAAACTAACTACTGTTGTAAAAGCTAAAATCAGTAAAACCCTAAATGGAAGCTAAAATTAGCCAGACATTAGCCAAAGCTAAACCTATCAAAACTGTATATCAAAGCTAAAATCAATAAAGCTGAAATTTCCAAAATATTAGCTTAAAACTAAAATCTGTGAAGTTGTAGTTGAAAGCTTAACTCAGGAAAACTTTAGCTAAAAGCTAAAATTACATAATTGTTATTGCTGAGTCAGCACTCAGACGATGCGCATCGGTTTCAGTTATTCGCCTAAAATGTCAAAGCTACAGCTTTGTTTTTGTAAACTGCGCAGAAAAGTGACATGAAAAAACTCTCTAATGGGGAATCAAGAGTGATCCCGCCACCCATGAGAGCAGCTTCAGACTCTGTATTTAACACAGCATTGATCTTTCTTCCACATGGGTACGCCCTGATCTGTCGTAGAGACGGTCAAGCTCTCCACACCAAAAGGACCACGAACACGCTCTCGTTTTGCTGATTGTCTGGTGGACAGAATGACATCTGATCTTCCTGAAGGACCCCTGCAGCTCCCTGGCTCCTCCCACGGGACCAGAGACATCACATAAGACCTTCTGCGAGGCCTTTGGGCCCGATTCTAATTGAAACCGACAACAACGAAAACATCCACACAGACCAAGGCCCTGCTGCGCTGCATTGTGCAGCCTCCACCACCTCCCGAGGAAGTCACACATTACAGATGAAAGTGGGCTTTGATAAAGGCCCGCTTTAAAAGAAACTAACTGGATGATTGTGGTCGGATGGGTCTCCTTTCATGCATCAGATGTCCAGACAGATGAGTTGATGTTAATGGCGTCCTTCTAATCGAACCTAGGAAGCGATTATGAGACTATTCATTAGTGACTCCCAGCAACGTTCATCTGCTGCCCCTAACAGGTTATTCGCTAATTATTCCGAGAACATAGCTCACTATGATGTGCTGTAGTTCTGTTAAAAAAAAGGCTCTGCATATTGCACAAAAGTGCTTTTCTTGTGTTGCTTCCCCCCCTCTTTGTGTGTGTCAAGGACAAAACACGCAAAGACTGAAGTTACTAAGCAATCTGAGATGGACCTACACGGGGCGGGCGTTTGCTTTCTGGCTATTTGTGTTTAAAAATTGAGTCAGAAAATCTGTTGCTCCGTGGCACGTAGCCGCTGTGTGTGGCGTGCATGTGAGTCGTGCTGTTGGGAGCTGTTTATCTGCATGTTTCGAGGAGGTAATGAGGAAGCTGCTCTGCTGTTTAACATGCAGCAGTCCGCAGGCGCAGAGAGAAATGGATGCACAAAGGCCTTAAATGGTCTGCTTTGCTTCGGACCTCTGCAGCACCACTGGCTTCGACTGAAGTCGCAATTAAAAGGCTTCAYGTAGGAGTTCCGATTTTTGTCTGTTAACAGATTATGAACAATCAATATCATACCTGTTGTAGACAGCTTTTTGAGCAATTGCGGCATAAAAAAATATATAGTTCAACACATGAATAGTGCAATCTTTCCAAGTATGCAACGAAGCCGATGAAGCCCAAAGCTGAAGCACAAAACGGAGCTAAAAGCAATGCATATAGAAATGCATTTTGCCATTGAACAAAGACAATGAACGTTCCTGGTATTAATGGGTGAATGACTAACTGTAGGGTAAAACACTTTGGAATCCTTGGACTTGATAAATAATGATACACGTTCAAGCCATTTACTGTTTTACCATATTGTCCATATTTTGAATGGCTTCAGTGTGTTTACTTTAGCTGTTTGCATCGTCTAACCATCTAATCTAACCAACTTTACAAGAACCAAACCAACCACTGACTCTTAAATATTTTCAGTGAAAGTTGTGGTCAAAAACTGACATAAAATATTAAAATAATATGAACTTTCAAAACATCTWTATTGCATTAGCAGCGTGTTTGTATGAATGTTATGATTTGTACCAGTTAGATGAGCTAACAGGTAGCCAGAGGGGGACCAAGATCAAAGTGAGATGCAACTCCAGTCTCAGATAATTCAAGAACTGTAAATAGTGACAGCAGCAACTGCCATTAAAAAACCTATGTAGTAAAATATGTCAACTGGTTCCACTCAACTGAATTGAGTAAAGGTAACGTTAAGTAAATATGCTACTTTTAATAAGTCCAGTTGAGTTGAACCAGTTGATTTAATTTTTATAGCACTTCAACTTCAGCCTGGGTCACTTCAG